GTGTGTGTATATATATATATATATATATATATATATATATATATATATATATATATATATATATATATATATATATTAGGACCTTGAATAAGTTCTCGCTGATTTGTCGTGCAAATTAATGCTTTACTTAAAAAAGTCGTAAAAAACATGTCACTGAAAGTATTGTCCATCGCTAGCCACTACTTTTTCCCATCTTTCTGACAGCATTTAAATTCCACGTCGGAAAAATGACACGTCTTTTGAGGCTATCCAAAAGTCGTCATTTTTTGGCATCCTCATAAGAATGAAAATATTGTTCAACCAGGCCATGTGCCATCGATCGGAACAAGTAATAATCGGAAGGGGCAATGTTTTGTGAATACGGCGGGTGGGGTAGAACCTCCCATTTAAGTGTTTCCAAGTAGGTTTTCACCGGTTGTGCAACATGTAGCCGAGCGTTGTCATGTTGCAAAATCACTTTGCCGTGTTTCTGCCGTTATATAGCGGCCGTTTTTTCTTCAATGCTCGACTTAAACGCATCAATTGTAGTCGATAGCAATCTCCCGTGATGGTTTCATTCGGTTTGAGCAGCTCATAATAAACTATACCCAGCTCATCCCACCAAATGCAGAGCAGAAGCTTCAAACTATGAATATTCGGCTTTGCCAACGATGCATGGCCGGGCTTATCCCACGATCTTCTATGCTTAGGGTTATCGTAGTGTATCCACTTTTCATTGCCAGTCACGATCCGATGCAAAAAACCTTTCCTTTTCTGCCGTTGAAACAGCTGTTCACACGTGAAAATACGCCGTTCGACGTCTCTCGGCTTCAACTCGTACGGCACTCAATGTCCTTGCTTTTGAATCATTCCTAATACTTTCAAACGTTTCGAAACTGTTGTGTGATCAACTCCTAATGATTCTGCAAGTTCAGCTAGCGTCTGACATGAGTCTTCATGAAGTAATGTCTCCAATTCTTCGTCTTCAAACCTTCTCGGTGCACCAGAGCGTTCTTTATCTTCAACATCAAAATCATTATTTTTGAAGCGTCTAAACCAATCTCTGCATGTTGTTTCCGACAGAGTATGGTCGTCGTAAGTCTCAACAAGAATTCTGTGTGCTTCAGCTGCAGATTTTTTTTTAATAAAGTAGTGCAGTAAAATTCCTCGCAAATACTCTTTTTTGGCACGAAATTCGACATGTTTAACACTATGAAAAAAAAGTTGTTTAAACTTCGGCGAAATGATACACTGAATTTCAAGCTTACTTATAGTACTTCCTTATAGATGCATTACCATCTTAAACTACACGCACATAGTTCTGGTAACGCCATCTGTTGGAAAACAGCGAGAACTTATTCAAGGTCCTGATATGTATATATATATATATATATATATATATGTATATATATATATATATATATATATATATATATATATATATTGTGACCGTATTTGCCGTGCGAAGTACGCGAGGAAACGGGCAAAACTTCGTCCCCGCGAAGCGGTGACGGCCGACTCTACCGGCTGCTCAGTTTAGCGAATTGATAGAGTGGCGTGGTTTTTATACTCGTGACTTAATTATCGGTATTAACGCGTGAGATGAGATGAGAGTGGCTAAGGAATAAAGAATATAATGCACAATTAACAGTAATAATATCGTCTTTATTAAATCGGCGTAAGAAAGAGGTCGGTCAAGCCGACATAAGCGCGCTCGCTTCGGGTCGAGTTTCAACAAGAATTCGCCTCCTCGCGATGATGGTCGGCGAGGGTCTCACTCTGCGGCTAACGCGCCGCCCTGATTCGAATTTTACGCGAAGTTTGGTGCCAGCCGGGCGATTCCCGGCCCTAAATACTCGACCCGAAAGCAACTACGGCAACCGATCAGAACGAAGCCCTCAGATGGGAGCTCTTAACGCACCACGCGACATGCAATACTGCGATTCGCTCGCAATTATTCACCCGTATATACCGAATAATTCGCATTTAATGGACTTCACACAATTACACACGCAACAACGATACTGTTCAGGATATGAATGCCAACTTACGCGACGCTACGTTCGGCGAGAACGCATACTCGCCTTTACCAATTAATCGACAGAAATTTACAACATTTATACGACATTTGACTGTGCGGCACTCTCAAGCTAGCAGGGCCAAATGAGCAGAATCGAATGGGACCTATTGCATTTTTTAGTACTCTGTATAGAACTTTGAAGGATTTGAAGAGCGCAAACAAGGCTAGAATACAGAGGCTATCTCTCGAATTCCTACATATATATTAACAGCACTGAATATATTGGGAGTACAAAGAAGTATCCGCCGTTTGACAAAAGATAGCGCCACCAGTAAGTTATGATTGAAATTGTCAGATGTAAAACGTCATATCGTAAGGTTGGACATCTGGTAACACCATAACCTTGAAATATTAGCGATTTTGTATCAGCATCACATAATTTTTTTCGTGCGAAAATGTCGAGTTTTGAGCCGAATAAGCGTCATTTGCGGGAACTTTTGATTTACTTCTTTACCCAGTAAGCAATCTGCGCGCAGACTGACGTCAGACTGTCGACAGGATCTGTCGAATCCGAGCAGGATCTGTCGACAGATCTATAGACATCTGCGTCCCCAATCTGCCGCCAGACTGTTGACAGGGTCTGCGAACAGACTCTGACGACAGACTGGCGGCAGATTGCGCGCAGAGCCTGTCGACAGACTATGACGGCAGATTGGCTGCAGATTGCACGCAGATCCTGTCGTTTCGTAGGTTCTTCAATTAAATTTTCTCATAATTTTTCATAATTACTCATAGAATAAGCGCTTTCTCATAAATACTCATAAAATAGTATGACAGAAAAAATTTTTCTACATTATTTTTTCATAATTTTTAATATTTTCTCTAGTGAGATTCGAACTTGAACTGAAGACATCTTTTGGATAATCGTCCGTCGCCTTAGACACTA